TTTTAAATTACGAGGCCTACACTAAGACCAGTTCATTATTCCATGTAACTCATACTTCAGTATTCGTCAGTAAAAAGACAAAATTTACCTTTCTTCCTACAACGTTAAAGTGAGTAATTTTCTGTTGAAGTTAAAACACACGAATTTAAACATGTTAACGTTTCTTTAATTGACGTCATAACTAAAATTATTATTGTTATTGGCTCCTTAGGAGCATGTCACCTTTCACAAAGACAACAAGTAATCCTTCAATGCGTTTTTAAGGCCTGTTTCAAACATCGCATTTTACATGTGCCGAATGTATTTAAGACAAAAGATAATAAGGAATTTTATCATTATCTTTTGTTTTAAATGCATTGGGCGCATGTTTAGATCCACGTCCACATCTAAAACAGAAAAAATAGAAATATTTTATTATATGATTATAACTTAAAATAAGTTAAAAAAAATTCATCAAAACCTTGGTTTATTGTTGCTTCACACTGCGGTTGCTTGCATTGTGACAAAATACTTTGAGAAAATTCTTTAAAGTCTTCGGGTGAAAGAGATTTTTCCATTGTCTCCAACTCACTTTGACTGCAAGTTTATTTGAAATTTATAAAAATATAAAGTTAAATCATTAAACATCACAAGATAGAAACTTACATCACTTTATTTCTTTCATCAATAGTTTCTTTGATTTTTTCTTTGAATTCTTTCTCAAGACTCAATACAGGTGTTTTAATATCAGTGTGCCAATTAACGGTGTGCAATGTGCAATTTACACATCGCTCTAGCTAAAATGAAAACAATTGTACATCACTTTTTCAAACGATATGCAAAAAACTTCATTATTGATTACTACCACATAAATTGAAAAAAGTTTTCAAGCTTAATCTTTATTGATCTTTACTTTATAAACGAGTGCGTTGCACGACATTAAAGTCCATGTTGACACAATGTCATAAAATTCAAAGACGTTGTCACTGAGACTGGGAAGTATGTCAACAGTCAACATACATGATGCATATATACTTATGACAATAGGAGTGTAATACATTATTAATGTCAATTTTTGCATTGAGATAATATTCCTTATTATCTTTTGTCTTAAATACATTCGGTGCATGCAAAATGCGATGTTTGAAACAGGCTTTAAAAACGCAATGAAGGATTACTTGTTGTCTTTGTGAAAGGTGACATGCTTCTAAGGAGCCAATCACAATAATAATTTAGTTATGACGTCAATTAAAGAAACGTTAACATGTTTAAATTCGTGTGTTTTACTTCAACAGAAAATTACTCACTTTAACGTTGTATGAAGAAAGGTAAATTCTGTCTTTTTACTGACGAATACTGAAGTATGAGTTACATGGAATAATGAACTGGTCTTAGTGTAGGCCTCGTAATTTGAAAGCTTTTATTGTAAAATGCTTTCATCACGATTATAAGCCTTTGATCGTGCGAAACTTGTTACATCGTTCAAGATCAACTCACCAAGGGCCTGTTCATATGAACCCGGGTAGCCGGGATTCAGCGAAGCGTTTAATCATTTTAGCAAATGGAAAAGATTAATTCCTTCACAACAAAAAACTTATTTAAGCAATTTCCCTATGTTCTGAATTTGCAAATTCACAAAACCTTTAAAATGAAAACAAATAATTAGGCCAGATTTGAAAATTACAACTAAAATGACTCATGACTTATAAGAAAGATTGTAAGTTTTGCGTTTAAAGTTTTTACTCCTTTCAATATCTCAAAATCATTTCACGTCTCGCTGAATCCCGGTTAGCTGGGCTCATGTGAACAGCCCCCAAAGCTATTTGTTACATGTTTGTAAATGATGATCGTCCAGGTTAATAAAGTCCTTAGAAGGACTGTTTTTGTTGTTTTTGACTGGCGTTTCGACAACCTTAGCGGTAGTCATCTTCAGAGTCAAATGAGGAGTAAACGTCAGGTTAGCCGTATTGTTATCTGGTTCTTACGTCATTGTATTGTGTGTACAGGAAATGTGTATTGTCATTGAGGATTAGTGTGAAGTGAAATATTTCATTTTTAGTAGTGATGTGTGATTTAGGTGTGATGTTTTTTGTTGTAATGTGTGGGTGTCAATTGTGTATTTTCATTGTGATTTAGTGTGAAGTGTAATGTTTTTAGTTGATCGTTTGTATTGTGAATAAGTCGTTTGTAAGGTGCCGGTAATTGCTGTGATCTGTTCAGAGGTGTTTGTTCCAAGTTGGTATACCAACTTTCTAATGTAAGCCGTTGTCTATAGTCAATACTGTAAGTAATGCATTTTACCAAGTCCCAGTCAATGTTGTGCTTTGTGATTCGGTGATGTTCGGCAATGTGATTAGTTTTGTCTTGTTTCTTAGTAGCTCGTTTGTGTTCAGTAAGTCTTATGTTTAAGTTCCTGCCAGTTTCCCCGATATAGGAGGCGTGGCAGTCGGAGCAGTTTATTTTGTAGCAGCTTAGTTTAATTTATTTGAACATTTTAGCGTTCGATTTCTCTTTTTTTTTACAACTCTACGCTGTCCTGTATGTGAACAATTAACACAGCACGGTTTGTGTCAAAGTTGTCGTAGCAACCCTCAAAAGTCTGTCTTTACTCTGGCAAGTAGAGTGGGGAACTGGGAAAGAAAATACAGTCATCTTAAAGAAGTATGCATAATAAATAACCTAATAATTATGGTTTGTCTTTGTCATGAAATTTAATTTTTTTTCATATTGTAGATATGTTTTTAGTGTTGTGGGGCTAGAGATGAACAACTGAGCTGTATATCACTGGATTGTCCTGATATATTTAAACTAAAGAAGTTAAAACAAATATGGAATATGGAATGACATTAAGAGACTTTCAAAAAACAATTGAAGGAAGTTATGGTCAGTCAGAGGTAAACAATATAACCACCAAATGTTGATGATATATTATCATCGTTAAAATCTTAATGAAATAGAGATTTCACATTTTTCACTAGAGCATTTTCTTGGCGAAGCACATTTGTTATAGATTTAACTTTGTGAGGTTAAACCAAAGGCGGCCCAAAAAATCACTTAAATTGTATAAAGCAACGATAACTTGCCCCATTCCATTGTAACAGACCGCGCCCCGCAAACTTTGTATTGCTTAATTGTATCTATATTATATATTCATTTATGTATTTGTTTTTATTATTTATTAATATATTTTTTAGGTAAATATATAATATAGATACAATCAATCAATTCATAGTTTGTGGGGCACGGTCTGTTACGATGAAATGAGGCGAGTTATCGTTGGTTTATACAATTTCAGTGATATTTTGGGCCGCCCATGGTTAAACTTTGTTATTTAAACATTCATATTTTTATAGCACAAATGTGTTAAAGGGTTTTGGAGTTTCAGTAATTTATAATGGATCATAATGGATCACCATTTCGCTATTCTATCAAAGATTGCCATCTAATACAGGTATAAATGTACATAAATGATCACAAGAAATATTTTTTTGCTCAATTGACTTAACTTCTTTGGATGTACTAAACAATGTCATTTCTATTATTCGTACAATATTCTTGTTTTTGGACCACTAACATTGTTTCATTGTAACTCATTATTTTTGATATCAACAGACAGATGCAAGCTAAAGATTAATTAAGCATAGACGGAAGCATGCAACATAGATATCAAAATAAGCCGAATAACAAATAGTGACTTTTAAACAACTTTAATGTTAATAAAATTTTTATTTCTTCAATTCATTTACCGTTTCACCAGGTTGGTTACTGACGCATTCGACAATTGTTTGTTTAATGTGCTTATAACATTTTCAAGTTTCCTTTTAATAATTATACAGGATGTATCATTGAAACATTCTTTATATAATGATAATTTCTAAAAAATAGGCACTTGATGAGTACGTAAAGATTTGCTTTTTTATGATTGACGATTGCCAAATACCAGTAGAATTAAGTACACGCCTAAGAACTGACCAATCAGAAAACACACGCTTTCCGCAACTTGGGGCATATTTTAAGATCAACTCAAACTTTCAATGCGTAATTTCAATCTCTACCTTCCTACATACACGAAGAATATTTGTCGAAAGCGAAATATATCTTTCACTATTTCGATTACATCTTCAGGTAAATGTGATTTTTGATATTCGTGTTAGGAGAGAACTCTCTCTATGAATCAACAAGCAAATAATTTTTCCTTTCCATTATGTTATTTGCTTATATTTTTTCAAAATTAGCCCTGTTCCTCATCAGAAAATTTTAAATAATGAGAAACATTAATCTCGAAATGTACGTTCAGGCGGTTAACGAATATTCGAGTTCTCGGAAAATACCGCCATTTTTTAAGTGCTTTTTATGTCATTGAGTTAACTATTTAATTTAGGCCTGTTTGAAACGTCGAATTTTACATGAGCCGAATGCATTTAAAACAAAAGATATCGAGGATTTTTTTCTCAATTTTTTTGTTTTTAATGCATTTGGTTCATGTAAAATGCGACGTTTGAAAAGAACCTTACCCTTACAACGACTTAAAGAATTTTCTCCTTACGCCTGGTTCACATATGACTGAGACATGACTGAGGCATTATTAAGGGGTCATTATTACTTTCAATGCGTTATTTAAATCTCTACCTTCCTACATACACGAAGAATATTTGCCGAAAGCAAAATATATCTTGACTTTTTTTATAACATGTTCAGGTAGATGTGATTTTTGATATTCGTGTTAGGAGAGAACTCTCTCTTTGATTGAAGTGTGAAATGTAAACGACATTAATATCTTTATGCAAAATGTGTGACCTAAATATACGTCTTCTTATGAAGTTTTCGTTTTTGTTAATGTTAATTCTTTGCTTTATTTTAGACGTGAACATTTTCTGTTAATGCGATCGAGAAACATAGAACAAATGTTTGTGGTTTTAATTCACCATGATGGAGGACTTATGTAAATAAAGAAATTGATTATTGACCACGATAAAAACGTATTTGGCTTTCGTTCACCATTCCCTTGAGGCTGAGCCATCTACGAATTGATATTCTACTTCGTCAGAACTGCTTTATAACTGAGGAAATATTAAGATGGTAAATATCTTTTTCCTCCTTCATCGTTTTTGACAGTAATTTTACAAGACGTATATATATTGTGAGTCCACCAGGCCGTTTACATGGCAAGCTATGAATGGGAACTCAAAAGATTTTGTTCTTTAGCGACGTTTCAATCTCCAGTGTCTCCAAGTCAAATGCAGTTTATTGGCCTTTGGCTGTTTTAAAACGTTTTCCTGAGCATTTTTCTTTCTTAGATCACGATTCTTGTCTCGACAGCTGCATGTTCGAAAGACAAGTCACTTTTAACCAACGATTTATAATGGTAAGATTTTTACAGCAACAAAATAAACTCATAAGAAAGTTATGTTTATCTCAGGTGTTTAAATTAGCTATTGTAACTTTACACAATTTCATTTTCTTTACAGATGAATAAAATTACGCCATTATGAAACGCCCAAATTTCGACATTTTTTAATGTAAAAATCATGTGGAATAAAAACATGGAATTTATCTTTATCAAAAAAAAACAAATTATAAAAATCCAAATTTTCTTACTGCAGTCAATATTTCCAATTTCATGCCATGTGCGACATGCACAGTTGTAAGAAATGGCCAATCTTGTTTCTGTGCTTGCCGTCGTCGACATGAAAATGGGGATGTTTGTCAGATAGCCTGAAAATTTGCTAGATACGATGGTTGATATCGTCCATTCTTTTTCTTCCGAAACATGTTTAACTGTTTTCAGTTTGTTGGTACATATGTCTAAAATCAAATAAAAACATAGTAATTTATCTTTTTGTGAAACGACAATCCTTGCACATTATAATGTTTTTGTCTGGCTTTAGTCTTTACGTCTACTTTTGTGTCTACCTTTTTGTTTCCATTAGTCTTCGTCTTTTTGTCAATCTTTTGTGTATCTTTTTGTATATCTTTTTGCCTTTATTTGTGTTACCTTTTTGTCCATGTTTTTGTCCATCTTTGGGTCTACCTCAGTTTCTAAAGCTTTGCGTCTCTGTTTTGTTACATATTCGCTTTATAATATGAAGATTTATATCACAGGAAGAAGAAAGTCTCACAGGAAACCCACAAGTTTCTATTCTGGGCCCTTTGTTATTCCTAATATATTTCAACGACTTGGCTAATGTGATACAATCCTTTAGTTAGGTGTTGAGAACTTACAATATAAAGAAAGTTTATAAATACCTTGGCACAGAAATAGACAGTCTTAATCTGAATGTCATTTTAATAAATGCTGCGTCGTTTATGTTCAAAATAGTGTGCGAAAATGATAAAAAATGAATCCTTGAGGATCAATTTTTGCTGAATCATGGAAATTGTAAATGTAAGATAATTTCAAATATTGTCAAGGTTGAAAAATGAGACATCACCATGAAATATGTGATAGTCAGTCAACAAACCAGCAAAATCAAAGTGAAGCACCTTTCATGTTGATGGAAAAATGCTCAAAGGTGAAAGACTGTGATTTTGACCAAAATTGTTTAACGCGCTTACATCTCACTCATTTTCCTTCCAAATCTCAACAAACAACATAGCATTCCATAGCTAGTACCTAGAACTCTTTTTAAATATTTAAAACTACAGTTATTTATTCAGTAATTTACACACATCAGCAAGTAAAAAGTGAATTAACTTTTTTTGAAACACCCTGTATCAAGAACTTAGATCCCCAGACCGTGGGGGTTCCCCTTTGGATAAATCAACTTAAATGTATATTTTATTAAATACGTGTATAATTTACGGAAAATAAAAAAATAAGAATCAAAGGAAGATATCATAATTCAGTCCTTTAATAACACCATGACAACTCGTAGCGTATAGCAAGTCTACCAGTGCTATGAAAATAAATATTTTGTTGTTCAATTACTTTTTCGTTACTCACTAAACTACATATAAGATGACAACAGTAAATATGGGCCAGACACACATAATTAGAGTAAAAGCTCCATTTTTCTTGGCTACATCACTACCTAAAACATACATAAAGATAAATTACATTGTCGGGTGGTCACCAATGCCAGATCTATCAAAACGCTTGTCAGCAAAGGATTTTTATTGTGTTTAGTCTTTACTGAAAGGAATTGATTTGTGGCTCCATTTCAAGGAATAAGATGCTTTGTTAGCCCTGGCTTTTGGGTACGTTTTTTTTCTCCTTTAGCTGACCAGCAACAGTTGTATTTTCAATTTCTGTAGACAAAGGTTTAAATGGAGTGTTTGTTTGGTTCTTTTTGTTGTTTAATATGAAAAATCTTAACATGTACATTATTTACATAAAAAATTTATAGTGCTTAGTAAGTTTTCTAAAAAGCTCAAACACTGGCTTTGCTGTGTAAATATAAAAATTTCTGTTCACTGTGATGAATGGCAAAATATAATTTGTATTTAAAAGAATTGTGTAGTTGGGAGAATCAGTTTCAAAGCAATGTAAAGTATAAGCTAAAGCAAAAGCTAGACATGAATGTCATAGCAATGAAAATGACTCATTACTATCCATATCAGTAGTAAAGACACTAGTAGAAATGACTCATTTACCGTTCTTATCAGTTATAAAGACATTAGCCAAAAATGTCTGGTCATGTCATTCACTCCTGAACATGAATACATACTTTAAAGGAAGGTGTTGCTTTAGAAATATATTCGTAATATAAACTTTTTATAGTTTGTACACAATTTCTCTAATGTTCAAATAATGTTTTGGAAAAAAATAAGAAGTTCCTTGCAAAATGAAATACTAACTGTTACACATAATGCCAGAGCTCTTCAAGATGCCCTGGGAATAAATGACATAGCAGACTCTTTATTTTGGGTAGGAGGCACATATTCATAAATTCATGTTCTGCCACATTAAGTTCCTTTGAAATCCATTGTTTTCAATGGATTAAGACATGCATATATGAATTTGTGCCCCCAATTAACAAGTATCCTGCGCCACTGCTGGGATTTTTTGCTGCCACGCTGATGCGTGGCAGCACACTAATCTTGACATGTCTCGGCCCATTCCTCTACTCGACCTATATAGAGGTAAAATCTCGATTTGTGTCTGTCTGTTAACATTTCCGGGGGGATTTTTACGGAATGAGGGGGGAAGAACAATCACAATAAGGTAGAACCTTTCGGAACTCCTGTAAGTTTCTATTTGATTCTAAATGTCTGGAATCCGAAAAGATATGCGGCCTAAACAACGTTATACAGTATATATCAAAATCGAGTGATTACCGACATCAATTACATATATCTCGTTTGGCGAAAAACACATGAAATGGATTCACCTTGCCGTATTTAGTAGCTCGGTTCACATATTTTATCTTGCACTCTATGATCGCACGGTGAGAAAAATATAGTGTAAGCATGTATTTATGTATTTATGTATTTATGTATTTATGTATTAAGCATGTATTTCGTTCGAGCTTTTATTATTACTTGAAATATCGGTGTGGATTTAACAAAACGTCAAAAATAATTTAAACGCATGGTGCGAGTTCAACCATGAAATATGAATTATGAATATGATGAAACGTTTGCCCTTTGCGATAACTTTTCATCATTTTATCGCAATCGCACAGAATCATACATAGTATAGAATGACATGTCTCGGCCCATTCCTCTACTCGACCTATATAGAGGTAAAATCTCGATTTGTGTCTGTCTGTTAACATTTCCGGGGGGATTTTTACGGAATGAGGGGGGAAGAACAATCACAATAAGGTAGAACCTTTCGGAACTCCTGTAAGTTTCTATTTGATTCTAAATGTCTGAAATCCGAAAAGATATGCGGCCTAAACAACGTTATACAGTATATATCAAAATCGAGTGATTACCGACATCAATTACATATATCTCGTTTGGCGAAAAACACATGAAATGGATTCACCTTGCCGTATTTAGCCAGCTCGGTTCACATATTTTATCTTGCACTCTATGATCGCACGGTGAGAAAAATATAGTGTAAGCATGTATTTATGTATTTATGTATTTATGTATTTATGTATTAAGCATGTATTTCGTTCGAGCTTTTATTATTACTTGAAATATCGGTGTGGATTTAACAAAACGTCAAAAATAATTTAAACGCATGGTGCGAGTTCAACCATGAAATATGAATTATGAATATGATGAAACGTTTGCCCTTTGCGATAACTTTTCATCATTTTATCGCAATCGCACAGAATCATCGAAAAAAAGGTTCTATCAAAATGTTATAAAGGAAATAATGGAAACAAAACTACAGTTTTATAATGTAGTCCGCTTCTACGTTTGTAAACATGCGTTCGATCGATCGTTTGAGTAAACAAAGTATCATACTTTTAATCAAAAAGCAATTTAAAGACTCAAAAGAATCAAAACCATCAAGACATTTAAAAGAATCAAAACCATCAAGACATTTAAAAGAATCAAAACCATCAAGACATTTAAAAGAATCAAAACCATCAAGACATTTAAAAGAATCAAAACCATCAAGACATTTAAAAGAATCAAAACCATCAAGACATTTAAAAGAATCAAAACCATCAAGACATTTAAAAGAATCAAAAAATTGTTTTCGTTCGAAATGGTAATGAATTTATCTTTAAAATTATTTGAAACGTGAAATGAAATAAGATGTAAAGCACGGGAGTTATTTTTCGCCGGAAATCAACCGTCGACTTTCAGAACGCGTGCCTTTGTTTGCATGTATACCAAATAAGGTATGGCACGTTTGAAAGGCCCGTTCACTCGATCCGATTTGTCGGATCCGGTTTTGTCCGATCCTAAAAACGGATCGTGTGAGCACATTTAAAGTTAGTCTCCGATAGTCGGATCCGTCAATCTAAAAAAGAGGATAGAACTAGCCTAGAATATAATGAATAGCCAAATTATATATGTTTGAAAAAGACTTGGAAACAAGAAGAAAAGTACGCAAATATATCGATAAATGGACAACACAAATGGCTGCTCTCAAGATTATAAATATCTAAACGTATCTAAATATCAACACAACTATCTGACCGTCTGAACAAGCAATCAAAAGACAGAACCGAAACAATAGGATCTGACAAATCGGAACGTGTAAACAGGCCTTCAGATAGAAAGAAAACTCTACACATGGCGAAATAAACCTTGCCAACGCAAAGCTAAAAGTTAAAGACACACATGTAAAATTTCTTTGACTATCATTCTAATCACCCAATCATAACGTATGTATGAAACCACCTAGAATGCTGTACACGGAGGTGGCTCCAATGGATGTCACTACGTTTTCAGCCCTGCAATTTTTCCAGATAAGGGGTCGGGGCAGCAATCCCCCCTTGCGATAGCAACAAATCTGGTAGTCGGGCAGTTAAATGTGTCATTTTCACTTCTGCCAATGCTATGGCAATGATATCCCGCTTTTTCTTCTTCAGGTTATTAATAACTTTTACTTTACATTGCCTTTATAGTTTGAACTATAATAAAGTATTATTGAATCAATCATTAAATAAATATTTTCTCCAAAGTAAAAAAACAAACAAACATTGTCATGACAATTAAAGTGTTACTCCCCAAATCAAGGTTGATTGCTGTACTTTGTCGCAATATTAACATCGTCAGGTCGAAATGTTTTCGTTTCAATTTTCATCGCTCGTTCATAAAAATCTTCTGCTTTTTCGTACTCTCCCATAAAAAAGTAAACCATACCCAGAGTGTTGTACATGGCCGCAATATTAACATGGTCAGGTCCAAGTGTTTTTCTTTGAATTTTCATCGCTCGTTCATAAAAATCTTTTGCTTTTTCGTTCTCTCCCATATAAAAGTAAACCAAACCCAGATTGTTGTACGTTGTGGCAATATTAATATGGTCAGGTCCAAATGTTTTTGTTTGAATTTCTATCGCTCGTTCATAAAAATCTTTTGCTTTTTCGTACTCTCCCATAGCATTGTAAACTGAACCCAGATTACAGTACGCTGTCGCAATATTAACATGGTCAGGTCCATATGTTTCGTTTCAATTTTCATCGCTCGTTCATAACAATCTTTTGCTTTTTGGTACTCTCCCATATAAAAGTAAACCAAACCCAGATTGTTGTACGTTGTCGCAAGATTAACATGGTCAGGTCCAAATGTTTTTCTTTGAATTTTCATCGCTCGTTCATAAAAATCTTTTGCTTTTTCATACTGTTCCATATCATTGTAAACCGAACCCAGATTGTTGTACGTTGGCGCAATATTTACATGGTCAGGTCCAAATGTTTTCGTTTCAATTTTCATCGCTCGTTCATAAAAATCTTTTGCTTTTTCGTACTCTCCCATATCATTGTAAACAGAACCCAGATTGTTGTACGTTGTCGCAATATTAACATGGTCAGGTCCAAATGCTTTCGTTTCAATTTTCATCGCTCGTTCAAAAAAATCTTTTGCTTTGTCGTACTCTACCATATCTTTGTAAACTAAACCCAGATTGTTGTACATTGTCGCAATATTAACATTTTCAGGTCCAAATGCTTTTGTTTCAATTTCTATCACTCGTTCATAAAAATCTTTTGCTTTTTCGTACTCTCCCATTTTACTATAAACCGAACCCAGATTGTTGTACGTTGGCGCAATATTAACATGGTCAGGTCCAAATGTTTTCGTTTCAATTTTCATCGCTCGTTCATAAAAATCTTTTGCTTTTTCGTACTCTCCCATATCATTATAAACAGAACCCAGATTGTTGTACGTTGTCGCAATATTAACATGGTCAGGTCCAAATGCTTTCGTTTCAATTTTCATCGCTCGTTCAAAAAAATCTTTTGCTTTGTCGTACTCTACCATATCTTTGTAAACTAAACCCAGATTGTTGTACATTGTCGCAATATTAACATGGTCAGGTCCAAATGCTTTGTTTCAATTTCTATCGCTCGTTCATAAAAATCTTTTGCTTTTTCGTACTCTCCCATTTTACTATAAACCGAACCCAGATTGTTGTACGTTGGCGCAATATTAACATGGTCAGGTCCAAATGCTTTTGTTTCAATTTCTTTCGCTCGTTCATAAAAATCTTTTGCCTTTTCGTACTCTCTCATATTAACGTAAACCGAACCCAGATTGTTGTACGTTGTCGCTATATCAACATGGTCAGGTCCAAATGTTTTCACTTGAATTTCTCTCACTCGTTCATAAAAATCTTTTGCTTTTTCGTACTCTCCCATATTATGGTAAACCAAACCCAGATTGCTGTACGTTGTCGCAATATTAACATGGTCAGGTCCAAATGTTTTCGTTTCAATTTTCATCGCTCGTTCATAAAAATCTTTTGCTTTTTCGTACTCTCCGATATTTTTGTAAACTGAGCCCAGATTGCTGTACGTTGTCGAAATATTAATATGGTCAGGTCCAAACGCTTTCGTTTCAATTTTCATCGCTCGTTCATAAAAATCCTTTGCTTTTTCGTACTCTTCCATATTATTGTAAACAAAACCCAGATTGTTGTACGTTGTCGCAATATTAACATGGTCAGGTCCAAATGTTTTTGTTTCAATTTTCATCCCTCGTTCATAAAACTCTTTTGCTTTTTCGTACTCTTCCATATTATTGTAAACAAAACCCAGATTGTTGTACGTTGTCGCAATATTAACATGGTCAGGTCCAAATAATTTTCTTTGAATTTTCATCGCTAGTTCATACAAATCTTTCCCTTTTTCGTACTCTCTCATATTTTTGTAAACTGAACCCAGATTGCTGTACGTTTTCGCAATATCAGCATGGTCAGGTCCAAATGTTTTTCTTTGAATTTCTATCGCTCGTTCATAAAAAGCTTTTGCTTTTTCGTACTCTCCCATATCGTCGTAAACCCAACCCAGATTGTTGTACGTTGGCACAATATTAACATGGTCAAGTCCAAATGTTTTTTTTTGAATTTTCATCGCTCGTTCATAAAAATCTTTTGCTTTTTCGTACTCTCCCATTTTACTGTAAGCCAAACCCAGATTGTTGTACATTTTCGCAATATCAACATGGTCAAGTCCAAATGTTTTTCTTTGAATTTCTATCGCTCGTTCATAAAAATCTTTTGTTTTTTCGTACTCTCCTATATTAAAGTAAACCGAACCCAGATTGCTGTACAGTATCCCAATGTTAACATGGTCAGGTCCAAATGCTTTTATTTGAATTTCTATCGCTTTTTCATACAAATCTTTTGCTTTTTCGTACTTTCCCATTTTATTGTAAACCGAGCCCAGATTGTTGTACATTGCCGCAATATTAACATGTTCAGGTCCAAATGCTTTTGTTTGAATTTTTATTGCTCGTTCATTAAAATCTTTTGCTTTTTCGTACTCTCCCATAATATCGTAAACCGAACCCAGATTGTTGTACGTTGTCGCAATAATAACATGGTCAGGTCCAAATGTTTTTTCTTGAATTCCCATTGCTCGCTCTAGAAAATCTTTAGAAATGTCATATTCTCCATTCCTCAAAAGCAATGAAGCCAGCTTCTCGTATGAATATGAAACATCAATATGATCAACACCTAGCACTTTAGTTTGAATTTCTGTTATTTCATAAAGTACTTTTGTTGCAAGTTTATAGTTGCAAAATCTTTCCAAAACGTCTACAAAATAATTGGAAAATTTCCAATTTCTTTCATCAAGTTTTTCTTTTGATGATTTTACATCGATCAACTTATTTAGGAAATGTTGAAATGATGAATTTGTTATGAATTTAATTAGATGTGGAATTATTTTGATTTCATCTTCTCTGTCTTCAAAATGATTTAGTGCACAAGCAACTTGACAGGCAAGATCAGCTGCAGACTTTTTAGAATTATTTTCGTTTTGTTTACAGTCAAAGGTCTGCGATGAATAATTTTTGATGGCTTCGTGTACAACACTGTGCAGGCGGATGTCGTTGTTTTCCGTTTGAAGGAATAAAGAACAATGCTTTAATTGAAGACAGACATCTTCTGCAGATTTTTGTGGATCAATGCTTTTAATAAATAGTATTATAACATCTTGTGGTAAGGGATCGAAAGATATTATTGAGAAAAGTTTAAAAACATGTTCTAACAAGATGGATTCTTCGGCATTTTTTTGTACTGATAACATTACAGTTTTCATTCCTAAGTAAGCTGTGTTTATTTTTTGAAAATAGCCATCCATGTTCTGTCGCTCTCCTTCATTCAACTTTTGAAAATATTTCTCCCACGTGAATGTCGGATTTACACTTTTTACACTACCTACGTAGGAAGCAGCATTTGCCAGGAACAACGGTTGACGATCTAATTTGTCTGATACATCCTTTAAAAATTTTTCATCTTTATTATGAATATCAGAAAAGACAGATAGAAGTTGTCGACATTCTTCATCATTCATACCATGACTAACTGAAATGTGTTTATTTAGATTTCCATCTGGTGGTATAGCATCTGTATTTTGGACAGTTACTATAATTTGACCATTTTTCCAGCTATGATCACCAACTTGAGGTAATAATGGATAAATTTTATGAAGTTCAACCACATTATCTACAACAATCCACCATGTTTGCCAAGATTTCAGTTGTTGTGTCAGCAATAATTGAAAATCTTTGATTTTGTCTTCGCTGCTTTTTGCTTCTTTCAGAATATTTTCAATGACAGTTTTATCATTGCTTAATCGTTGATAAAGTTCAGCATAAGTTTTCAAAAGAGAGTCGATATCTTTTCCGTCGAGTGTCATCACAAATGTCGTGTTCTTTTCCCAGTCAAACGAGTTATACATTTCTTCACAAATTTGTCTAGCTAATTGAGATTTACCACTGCCAGGATTACCAGAAATGTAATAATATGTTAGTTCATTATTGTTAGTACTGCGCAAGTTATTGAGATCTGCTGTGATTTGATTAAGTAATTCTGTACGTTTAACGATGCCGTGATTTGATTTGCAAGGAAGTACTTGAAAAGAACTATATCTGTTTCGTTGACATTTAATTTCATTAATTTCAGTGAATGAAAATGCTAGATCTTTAAATGACTTTTCAATATCACAAAGCATTTTGTCAAATTCGGTATCAGATACTCTTCCAGGATTATCATGGGTAAATTTGTTTCTTATATCACGAAGTTTGTCCACAGCAGCCTTAGATTTTGGGTCTAGTTTTGTTCCAACTGAGTTGGAAAACAAAATTGCTGCAAATAATGTCGTACAATCCCACTTACTGGTGTCACCATCTTGAAATTTTGACAGAATGTGTTTGTCATGAGGTCTTCTTTTTGTTTTTTCAATTTTTAGCAACTTCTGACCACTGACGTTTGTATTTTCCCATTCTCCTAGAGATTTTTTGTAATGAGTGTTCCATTCTTGGATAAAAAGATCAACAAGTTTCTTTTCAACATCTTTAAGTATTTCTTGCAGGTAGAAGTTATTAATTTGTTCTCTTGACTGCATCTAAGGTTCACAAAATTATTAATATCAACATAAATTGGTTCTTTAATTTGAATTTATAGACAACTAAAATTTTGAACATCAAACATAGCGACGTAATGTTACAGTTTTACTTGTACGTGTAAATGAATATCAAGGATGGCAGCTGAAAACAACGCAACTTGACATTTTAGTTATCCTGCATTTAGGCATTTCGCTACATTTTGGTAGTGGCGTCGCCAGGATTTTGCAAGTGGGGAGGGGGCACGAAATTTGTACCACGTCAGTCGCTAGCGAAATTGCCCTAAAAATTGCTTCTGCACTGGGAAATTTTTGAAATATTTATCACAACATGAATCGTTTTAATTTTTTAACTTCCCAGTTAAACCTTGGAGGATTTGTACATTCTTCGTGTTGTAACGTTAGGTAGATTGATTATTAATTTTAATGAAATGTTTTCATATTATAATACTTCCAGAATTGCAGTATTTTCATGAGCCTTACTTTTAGTCATTGCTATATTTGTATTTTTGAGTTTACAAGTTTGAGTCTACGAGTATACTTGTCCATGATCTCATGGTATGGTGCAATGTGGTTTATGACATGCATCACAAAATTACTTGTTCTTCCTTGCCCATTAAACACTTGAATTATTCTAGAATTATTGTTTTGTTTTTTTCATTTTTAAGAAAATAAAATCCTCACCACTCGGCTAACAACCTAGAAAGGGTAAATGCAACGCAAACTAGTCTACACAGTTAATAGAATGCTTCCCTTTACAGTAAAGTTATGCGAAGTCCGTAACAGCTACATTAATGCCATGTGCTTCTTTTTCAATTTCGAATGATGCATATAAAATTCCAAGGGGACTTGGGGGCACAGTTTTTTTGGGGCACGTGCTACCTTTTCGGGTCCCACTTTAGCAACGCCATTGCATGTTGGAACGAAAATGGAGGTACTGAGTTTTATTATCACTTAGGAAGTTGTTTAACAATTTGTCTAACTGACACACAAAGTTTGTGCAGGCAGTCTACTCGAATGCAAAGACTACTTAGACAGCTGTACAATAGAAATATATATGAAGCAGAATGTTCTGGAATTTAGTCTTTGCAGTTAAAAAAGATTCCCATTTCTAATAAAAGATCTGATTGCCTTCTAGAATTAATCGTAAAGAGAACCATGAGAAATTTTTCAAGTATTCTTCCTTTTCAATAAAAAAATGATGTAAAATATAGGACATGTCATGTAAGTCATGTTTTCTAGAAAAAAAAAACAAAAAATTCATTCTAGTTGTGTAGAATGCAGATTGAGACTGTGTCCAGGCGAACATTTAAAAAACAAATTCATTACACACTGTAAAATATTGTGGAAATTCTGGTATTACCAGTTTATAGTATTCTGTATGTAATCGACATGCAAATTTCATGTAAATGCCATAAAATGTACAATTTACTTATTGTGTTTCTTTGCATGCTTTTAAAGTTTCTTAAAACATGCCTAACACTTGAAATGTTTTGGAAAATCTAGAAAATGACAAAAAAGCTCAAAAAATTTGTCTTACATTTTGTTAAGTCGTGCTCATAAACCACAGAAACATGTTAAGGAAATAGTATGTGCGTAGTTTGGTTTACCAAAGTATTCGTTCCCACGGCTAACAGCCGAGGAACAGTTATTGACGTTAGTTAAATTTCCTTATGTACAATATATAGCTTAAATAGAGGAACTATTCCGACCAGTAATAGTATTTGTTATTTGTAATAAAGACTATAAATACTGCTGTGTAAAATAATAAAAATCAGTTCGATCATTAAGTTAACTCTTGATTGTTACTGAAGGTATAGAGTATATTACAAAAAGAGATATGGCGAGTAACTCGAAGTCAACAGGTTATGGGCCCAGGAGAGGTTTGCTTTTCGATGGAAGCGAAAGCAAATACGAGTTAAGGGAAGTAAAATTCCTGGGCTATATGCGTCTTCATAAACTGTACGACGTATTTATTGAATCAGCAAGTGAGAGAGAAGAACCAGAAGCTTCAAAACTGGCTGACACTTTTTCAGAGTTGGTCCAATGTCTGGACGACAGAAAATTGTCTCTTGTGATTCAAGAGGTAAAAAGACAATGGACGAGAGCTTTAGACACAGGAGCTACAAGCCACATTATAAACGTAAGTCAAAATTTTAGATGAATAGTATTTGATAGTAAAGCGCATGGTATTGAATTAGCAAATGGCAGTAAAGCCAACGTAGTAGTCGGTAAAGGTACTGCTAAAGTTAAATTATTTGAGTTGAATGGAAATGTGCAGGATGTCTTATTAAGTAATGCCTTGTATGTTCCATCTTACGATCAAAATATATTCTCAGTAAATGCTGCCGTAGAAAAGGGGGCAAAAGTCAAATTAGATAAACACGATAAGCATTTACAGTGCCCTGATGGCACAACGTTTGGAATAAGACAAAAAGGCAAACTTTACTATGTAAATAGCATATCATCTTCGAATAAAAATGCATGTTCTCTTTACGAGTGGAACAAGGTTCTAGGTCACTGCAACTACAAGGATGTTAGGAAACTAGAGAAGGTGGTTAAGGGGATGAAAATCACAGACTTGAGGGAAGTTGAGTGTGAGGTTTGTACGCAAGGTAAAATGTGTCAGACAAAAAAGTAAGCTGGAAGATAAAAAGGCGAGAGGTCCTCTTGAGTTTATTCACACGGATCTTGCAGGTCCTATTGATCCGGAAGGGAGAGAAGGGTTTAGATATGCATTGTCGTTTGTGGATGATTATTCAGGATTGAATATGGTCTATTTTCTTAAGCATAAAAGCAATACACCACAAGCATTAATACAGTTTTTAGCAGATGTTGCACCTTACGGAAATGTGAAGCGCATAAGAAGTGATAACGGCGCTGAATTTACAAGCGAGAAATTCAAATCGATTCTTAGAGAAAACAAAATTAGGCATGAAACTAGTGCACCATATTCGCCAAACCAGAACGGCACAGTTGAGAGATCGTGGTTAACTTTATTTAACATGGCTAGGTGTCTATTGCTAGAAGCGGAATTACCAAAATCCATGTGGACATATGCCGTCATGGCATCTGCTTATATTAGGAATCGTTGTTTTAATTCGAGGTTGAACAAAACTCCGTTCGAAGCGTTTACAGACTCAAAACCAGACTCGAGCGAAATGCACATTTTTGGTTGTGTTTGTTATGTTTATTCACAAAATTCAAAAAAGTTAGACCCTAGACGTAAAGAAGGTATTTTCGTAGGGTGTGATAAAATTAGTCCAGCATATCTACTATACTACCCTGACATCAACAAGTTAGAGCGTGTAAGATGCGTTGAGTTCTTCAAGGAGGGTAACAGGGAACTGCCAGAACTAGATGATGAAGAACTTGCACCTCAAATAGCAAAATTGCAAGAAAGAAACCCCAAAACAACTAACGAAGACATTAGTTCTCCAGAGACATCTAAAGAGACTCAAGATACCCACTAGGATAAGAAGTAAAAGTAAATATCTTGACAATTATGTGACAAAAGAAGTTTCAGGGGAGGATACTGTCTCATATACCGTAGATTGTTGCTATAGAGTATCCAACATCCTAACGACCTATTCCCAAGCAATAAGCTCTATTGTAAAAGTAAAACGGCAAAAAGCCATGAATGATGAAATGAAAGCGTTAATTGACAATGAGACGTTTGAACTTGTTCCACCCCCAACAAATAGAGACATAGTGGGGGGAAAATGGGTATACACCGTCCTGGCTGGAAAGTATGTCTTGCGCAACCTAGATCTAGCTTGCGCAATTTCGGGAGAAATGCGCGTCCTGACGCGCAGATTTTAAAAAATTTCTTGTTCGCCGCGCATTTGTGAAATTTGCCGCGCAGCGCGAGAAATTATTGCGCAATATCAGCACATGTGCGCTGCAGCGCTGTTGTTTCCGTTGAAAAAAATTGTTGCCTGTTGAATGTCAATCTTACAAGCTGTTTTGACAGGCAAGTTCCGTTAATTGGTTGGTAAGCCAATAAGCGTTTGATGACTAGAAATATGACATCTGAGCAGATCAACTACACATTCTTTGCTTTCGTTTTTCGAGCTTTCTCTTTTTAAGTGACTTCAAGGCAAACCATATCGATTCTTCGGTGTATTCTACGGTGATACGTGATATTTATTTAATTAAACCAACTTGGGGTGTTCAAATTTGTAAGGTGAGTACACGTAATGGTTTAGTAAAATCAAAAGTACTGATACAAAATTACAAATGATAAAAATTCTGAAAGCATTAACGCTTCTAACACTAAACGCCCGGGGAAACAAGTTATTATTTAACAGTTATGTTTTTTGTGTAACCTAAAAGTAGTGGTACGAAAGGATTTCTTGTATTACAAACTACAAAGCATGTTTTAATACATTTAAGGCAAATAAAATTCACAATCCTTACATAAAACATATTGATAAATGAAGCAATTTATAATTAAAACCGGTTTGCTAACGAACTAACAGGGCTTAGCTCGCTATTGTTTGGTGATAAAGCGAGATTTTTTGACAAACTTTTTTTATCTAATTGTTTATTTATTTTTACTAGATGGCTGAGATTCAAGCAGTTAAATCAGGTAAATTCACGCGTTACAATAGCCGAAAATTTTCCTAACAACAATATACACAATATATATCAGCCATTGGTTGATTGCAGGAGCTGATTCGGTGATTCCTCGACAATATTCACTTCTCACTAAGAGTACCAAACCAACATTTGTGTGTTGCTAAAACTAGTGCTGCTTGCCTTTGATACCAAAAACGTTCATTACATTATCTTAACTTATGTTTTCATTGTTGTTGCCTAATTACTAGTTTGCGTTTCATGCAAAAAGAAATGTGGAAGCCATTTTTGCAAAGTTTGCAAAAAAACGTGCCACGCAATTCCGCCTTGCTCAACATCAGCAGGTGATGATGAAGGTTTTGGTGCCCAAGTCTTGTGTAGTGGCTGTGCAAAACTGAGACAGCAGCAGTGGCTAAAATAAGCAGCAAACACTGTCTAAGGAAGGTAACAGAACAATTATCTAGTGTTAGAATGTTAGTCGTGTGTAAGAGTGATCGTGTTTGCGTCACAAAGAAAAGTGGCATGACATTGTCAGTGGGTTTTAAAAACAATAGTAAACAACCAAGATTGGCTATCGACACATTTGTAACCATAAAATTGTGTGTTATAGAGTTTCAGTTTGCCAACATGTTTAAAAGACATAGCAAGCAGCAGAAAACAGGACCAGAAGCAAAGCGAGCAAAGAGTGGACACGAGAAAACCCCAATGGGCTTTTGCTTACTTTGTTTTAGGCAAGGCAACGCAAATTTTGGCTTGCTAGAGGAACAAGTCCTCTCTAGCAAACCATTTAAAAACTCACAGCGACAAGGGCGAAAAGACCTTAGCAAATGACGCTATTAGAGAAGATTCCCCTCTTGCTAAATCTGCGCTACAGGCGTACAAAATGCTTAAATCGGCTAGGTAAATGAAAATCAAGTTCCCAATTCCCAAATTGAGAACTGCACTTACATTGTGTATGTTTTCTATGTTAATTGTATTTTCAGTACAAGCCAAGTGCAACAAAAGTGTGGTGGCGACGGAATGGGAGAACGGATAGAAATTATGGAAGTCGATGAAAGGTAGCTAAATTGCTCATTCCCCTGCGTGAACCATAAAATAACCGAATATCACAAACTGCATACATGTTATATAATACATTTCTTTTACATATACAGTGATAGCTTTTTAAAATTATGAATATTAAATTGTTTCAGAGAGCTTGGTAAGGATACGGCTGGACATGCAACTGACGAACTTTCGTGCAAAATCGTTTCTGGTGTCAGTGAATCTGAAAGTTGGGAGGAAACCGATGAAAAAGATGAGAGGTTTGTTAGTGAAATACGGCATTTTTCTTGCATTATAGTATCAGATTTTACGACATTTTGTCACGATATTTTGTGAAATTTATGCCATAGTGGTTGAAAGTGTTGACTTTTTAGTTCAAGGCTTCCAATAATTCACTTGTTCGGATAAGTAATTTCTACATTACAAATTTCTTAAGTCGTTTAATATTAACGATGAAATCATTAAGTATTTCAACGTCTTCTGTTGAATTTCTTAGTACATATACTTTTCACACAGTTTGCAAGAAAATTTTAATGTTGGCTTTTAACACTTTCATTGTTACAGCGAAGAGATTGTGAGAGTTAATGCAGTAAGTAAGACGAGTAAGGCTGCCTCAAAACACCAGCCGTCTTAGCTATCAAAGCTCGCTTGGAAGTTTTCTTCCTTCAATTTTATCAAGTGAGCAAGGCGACCTGCCATTTGATGTGGACGAACTTGCGGAAAAATTGCTACTAAGGTGGCACAAAAGTTGAGTGGTAACCCTAAATCAGCCCAATCAACAAGTTCAACAACTACATACAATCCCACATCGAGTACCGCACTTCGATCTTCCAATTTGATTGAGCTTGTGGATGAAGTGGAAGATTTTGAAATACTAAAAGAAGAGAACAGCTGGGTGCTGCAGTGTCGAACGTGTGTCGAATTTTTAAACTCTTCCCGTGTTTCCTTTTCGTCATCTTTTAATCGACCTACTGGCAAAGCAGACGGATCTTTGGCATCTGGTTTACATATGTCAGATGCCTTGTATGAACAGCTAATTGCAGGCAAGTGTGAAAAATGGTACAGCCAAAAGCAAGCGTGTCATCGACATCTTCTTTCTTTGACCCACAAAAACGCTGATGACCACATGAAGATGGTAAAGCAAGGGAGGTCAAGGGAAGTACTTGTTGCAAAGAATCAACTCCGTGCAGCTCTTGGTGTTGTGAAAACAAAGTCAGCTGCAGTTCATTATGAAGCACGAATTGCTGAGCTTCAAGCTGCTGGTGCGGATGTTGGTGATTTTTGTCATTCTCGAAAATTGTTTCCAGACATGATCAAAGCAGCATGTGCTTACATCGACATGAGAGCAGCCAATTTTCTTTCTACCCCTCTTCCAAACACAGGAATGCCCCCACATTTTTATGTTACAGCTGATAAATCTACCAATCATCGCATCACTAATCAGGTTACTATCGTTTGTCCAGTTGTAAATGGTAGTCGCCGAGGCATTGTCCTTGACGCAAGGGAGGTTTACAGTAACTCTGATGCAACTGGTGGTACAGGTGATGCTCTAGCTGCATCCATTTTTAAAGATCTTGACGTGCATGTTGGTATTAAGGATAATCGGCTACTGCAAGTGCAAGGGCGAGTGATGGATGGACAATACGTCAACGAGCCGTTCATTGCAGGCATGAACGAGCCTGTATTTGAACTTTTGCATGATGATCTGTCCTGCAAAGAAAGATTCTGGTGGCCTGTCCAATGGGACCCTGCCCATTGGTTAGATAAAGTATTTAGTCAGCTCAAGGACTCGCCTTTCGTTGATCGTTTGCTGCGAAGGATTGCACTTTATCATCAACTTTTTAGTCGTGGTAAAATGCACAGCGTAGCGCGTCATACTGCTAAGGACTTGAATCTTCCGTTTCGAGTAACCAACGCATTTGCACATCAGCGGTTTTTGAGCTCCAGCTATCTATCTTTAAAGAATCTTGCAGATAGTTTGGAAGTGTACATCGAGACTTTCAAGGACCACGACAATAGAGAAGAGATGGGTTACAAGTTATGTGGTCAAGACTTTGTCCATGATTTGCTTGGTGTACTCGATTTGTTGGGGCCCTTGGTCGGCCTGATGCTGCAAGCGCAGGCTGAGTGGTATCCTGGTTAGAAGTTGTGCTCTCATGTTCCTTTGGTAAAACGACAGATGCAACGTTACATCGAGGAAGTATCTAAAATTGATCCTGATGACTTTGTTTGCCCAAGATTAAGCCAGCGAGTTCATGAAATTCGAGATTACCGCTTTGGGCAAAGTGAGTTGGAAACTGGTTGGTTTGTCGTTAGAGAAGGCGACGGTAAAGTGCCAGTGGATTGGGTAGCAAGAGAAATGCTGGACAGTGTTCATGATCTAGAGAAGCTGGCTGCGGATGTCATTAGTCAGATTGATGTTCGCTACACCAATAGCTTTTCCGACCTCAACAGAATGCTATCAAAGTGTTTTGACTTTGGACGACTTTTTCGTCGTTTATGCGGTTTTCGTTCGGAAGAAAAAAGTCCAGTAAACAACAGGGAGTTTTCTGAACTTGGAGCTAATGAGTTTAGACGATGTGTAAACTTTTCTTCTCAGATGCCACATGTTTCTGAAAAGAATTTTGAGCTTTGTAGCGAGCTATCATCCACAGTGTTTTGGCGTCTAAAGAAAACACTCATTGCCGTTGTTTGGGGTGATATGCTACACACTCGCGTCCCTAATTTTTTCAAGAAGATCTCTCTCTATGACGAAGGAATTTTTTCCTTGCAGGATGTGGTTTTCGAGGAAGGAGTCTTTGTGACTAGGTTCCAAGAAGGTACACCAAGGCAGTTCACCCTTTCTGAGGTCTTCAAAGTGACGCTCAACAATGGTAAAATGATTGACGTTCTTTTTAAAGAAGAGGCCGTTATTGAATCTTTATATAACGATTCCTCATTTTATTAAGCTGTCGGCCAAGAGTTTTGTCTCGTCTTTGACATATTTTATGCGAAATGCGGAACTGAGGCTGTTGCCGAATCTTTTTACCGGGTGGTGGATAAGCAAGAATTGGATGGTGGGCAAAGCATAAAAGTGCTAATGAATCGTGCTAAAGTTGATTGGAGTTTACCATCTGTACTTCAATGCGACGCAGCACTGAACGAAATGGCAAAACTTTACATCAATGGGGACAAGGAACGTGGTTTGTCCAGACATATGATTCCTGTTTTAGAGACCGACGAGCATGGCAAAACACGAAGGAGAGATGTCCAAGGTTTTGCAACGCATCATAACATCACGCCCTAAGCTACCTTTCCTCTTGTAACCTTAGTCAAGCGTCAACCAGTATGCTTCGTGCAGTTATAATCAAAAAGTTTTCAATCCAAATCTGGCAGCAGATCGTAATTGTTTATCAATTGAAAAGCTCCCTTGCTTACCATCTGCCTGCTGATTATAAACAATTATTAACTGAAAACCTTTTCTGTCCACAATCTGGCTGCTGATTATAAACAAAGATTAACTGAAAATCTTTTTGTCCACCACCTGGCTGCTGATTATAAACAAAGATTAACTGAAAACCTTTTTGTCCACCACCTGGCTACAGATTATGAACAAAGATTAACTGAAAACCTTTTTGTCCACCACCTGGCTACTGATTATAAACAATAATTAACTGAAAACCTTTTCGTCTAACACCTGGCTGCTGATGATAAACAATTATTAACTGAAAAACCTTTTTTGTCCACCATCTGCCTGCTGATTATAAACAATTAATTGAAAAACCTTTTTTGTCCACCATCTGGCTGCAGATTATAAATATTTATCAACTGAAAACCTCCCTTGCTTACCATCTACCTGCTGATTATAAACAATTATTAACTGAAAAACCTTTTTTGTCCACCATCTGGCTGCAGATTATAAATATTTATCAACTGAAAACCTCCCTGCTTACCATCTGCCTGCTGATTATAAACAATTAGTAACTGAAAACCTTTTTGTCCACCATCTGCCTGCTGATTATAAACAATTATTAACTGAAAACCTTCTACTCCACCATCTGGCTGCTGATTATAAACAATTATTAACTGAAAACCTTTTTTGTCCACCATCTGCCTGCTGATTATAAACAATTATTAACTGAAAAACCTTCTACTCTACCATCTGGCTGCTGATTATAAGCAATTAGTAACTGAAAACCTTTTTGTCCACCATCTGCCTGCTGATAATAAACAATTATTAACTGAAAACCTTCTACTCTACCATCTGGCTGCTGATTATAAACAATTATTAACTGAAAACCTTTTTGTCCACCATCTGCCTGCTGATTATAAACAGTTATTAACTGAAAACCTTCTACTCTACCATCTGGCTGCTGATTATAAGCAATTAGTAACTGAAAACCTTTTTGTCCACCATCTGCCTACTGATTATAAACAGTTATTAACTGAAAAACCTTCTACTCCACAATCTGGCTGCTGATTATAAACAATTATTAACTGAAAACCTTTTTTGTCCACCATCTGCCTGCTGATTATAAACTATTATTAACTGAAAAACCTTCTACTCCACAATATGGCTGCTGATTGTACAAAAGATGGTTCCTGATTGATTTGGTTTTTTTTGACGACGTATTTGACGACGTCAGTAAATCAAATTTATTTGGTGCCTACCTTTTATCGTATCATACGCTGTGATGAAACGATGAAACAGATGAATGATAAACATACGTGGTACGTTGGTCGTTCGACTCGTTACATAACACCTAAGATAACGTGTACGCTGTGATGAAACGATGAAACAGATGAATGACAAACATACGTGGTACGTTGGTCGTTCGACTCGTTACATAATACCTAAGGTAACGTGTACGCTGTGATGAAACGATGAAACAGATGAATGATAAACATACGTGGTACGTTGGTCGTTCGACTCGTTACATAATACCTAAGGTAACGTGTACGCTGTGATGAAACGATGAAACAGATGAATGACAAACATACGTGGTACGTTGGTCGTTCGACTCGTTACATAATACCTAAGGTAACGTGTACGCTGTGATGAAACGATGAAACAGATGAATGATAAACATACGTGGTAAGTTGGTCGTTCGACTCGTTACATAATACCTAAGGTAACGTGTACGCTGTGATGAAACGATGAAACAGATGAATGAAAAACATACGTGGTACGTTGGTCGTTCGACTCGTTACATAATACCTAAGGTAAAGTGGCATTTTTTTGTGATTACACATGACACATCCTCACGTTGTAAAAGGAGAGTTGCAAGCTCCAACTTAAGGTAAGCTACAGCTATACACATGTATCATCTTTTATGTTATGTTTCATAATTATTTGCAATTGCAAACTATCAAAAATGGAATGTGATACGGAAAAAATAAAACTGGCATCTCGCGAATATTTTATGGCTTCGCAGCGCAAAGTCGAAAATCCGCCGCGCAAAATTGAAAATCCGCCGCGCAAAATTTCTAAAAAAAATTGATCTAGCTTGCGCAGTTTGAATACTTTCCAGTCTGGTACACCGTAAAAGTAGGGAACATTTCGTAACTAGTAGCGACAGACTTGCCGAGTGGAAATCGAATTCGTGTAATAAAAATTAATGCCCAACAAAGTTTTAATTAGAGCCATAGAAATAGACCAAAAAAATTGTAAAATTGAATTTATTGTAACGTTTCGTCTTTACTCAAGACATCTTCAGACAAATAATAAATAGGTTGTTAAGACAAGATATTATATTTACAAAAAGGTGTTAAATTACTACTAAAGGAGGCGGTGTCAAATGGATTATATGATAAGGAAGTTAGGAAGTAAAATAAAGAGAAAGTAAAAGAGGTTAAGTGGAATGGAGTTTCCTTGCACGTTAAGTGAAGGCTTGTATTTTTTGATTAGAACGCTTTCATGAGTGGAGAGTTCATAAGAATCGTTAGATAAGGAGATTATTTTAAAGTCGTCTAAGTTGGGGGTGTGTCCAGTTGCGTTAATGTGAGCAAAGATGCTTGATAACGCAGGGTGGGAAACTTGGTTGCCTGTAAGGGGGGGTATTCCCAAGTACTCCGAAAATCTGGTGTGTAGATGACGTGTTATTTGACCGACATACGAGGCGTTGCAGTTTCGACACTTGAATAAATAGACTACACCAGATCTCAGAGGTTTGGAAATTTTGTCCTTAAAGAGGAAGAAAGAAGAGATACGTTGGGAAGGGCGCAAAACAAATTTAATAGACATATGTGGGAAGGCTGCAGGACAAAGGCTATTGATTTGTGTACGAATTTGAAGGGAGTGTATGCGGCCTTTCACCGGAAAGGAAGACAAAAATAGATGGGCATTTTGTGAGCAGTCAAACCAGGTGGTTTGGAGGTGTTGTTAAGGAAGCGACGAGTGATTTGGTCAATTATACGTGAAGAAATCCGTTTTTGGTGGGTGACTTTCTGGTGAATTCGAGTTGTGTATGAAAATTTTCGTAAATAGAACAAAGGTTGAAGATGCGGTGACCACACATGCGGTGACCACACGTCATCTACACACCAGATTTTCGGAGCACTTGGGAATATCCCCCCTTACAGGCAACCAAGTTTACCACCCTGCGTTATCAAGCATCTTTGCTCACATTAACGCAACTGGAAACACCCCAACTTAGACGACTTTAAAATAAACTCCTCTTCTGACGATTCTTATGAACTCTCCATTCATGAAAGCCTTCTAATCAATAAATACAAGTCTTTACTTAACGTGCAAGGAAACTCCATTCGACTTCATCTCTTTTAATTTCTCTTTATTTTACTTCCTAACTTCCTTATCATATAATCCATTTGACACCGCCTCCTTTAGTAGTAATTTAACATCTTTTTGTAAATATAATATCTTGTCTTTACATCCTATTTATTTGTCTGAAGATGTCTTGAGTAAAGACGAAACGTTACAATAAATTCAATTTTACAATATTTTTGGTCTATTTCTATGGCTCTAATCAAAACTTTATGTTGGGCATTAATTTTTATTACACGATTTCGTAAAAGCACTATTGCTAATGGGCATTTAATATACACGACAAGTTTTTTTAAAATAGACATGTTTCGACATCTCATGATGCCATCTTCAGTATGAGTGAAATAATAAGTGATACAAGGTTTATATAAAAGTAATATGATACATAAATTACAACAATAAAAAGGAAATAAGATAAATTAATGGGGAGCGTCCGAGCGTATTATAAATTCAATACAATATTTAGTTTATAATACGCTCGGACGCTCCCCATTAATTTATCTTATTTCCTTTTATTGTTGTAATTTATGTATCATATTACTTTTATATAAACCTTGTATCACTTATTATTTCACTCATACTGAAGATGGCATCATGAGATGTCGAAACATGTCTATTTTAAAAAAAACTTGTCGTGTATATTAAATGCGCATTAGCAACAGTGCTTTTACGAAATTATCCATGAATATCTTATTTCCTCTACTACCTCGTGACCATGCACATGATGTGTATCGATGTAGAACATTACTATTATATAGTAGAAATTTATTTCTTTTTATTATTATATAAAGATATATGAAAGTTAACAAGTTCATTTTCCAAACTTGATTCGAGCTAGTTCCAAATCTCACCAAAATCAACAAATTTATCTTTATAAAACATTTACATACGTACATAACGCGGAAGTAGAATATTTTACAGAAAAACAAAATAATCGATAAATGGACATGAAACATTAAATCGCAAAATCAAAATACAATATAACAACGAAAGGTAAAGTTTAAAATCAACATACCTTCACAAATTCAGAAGGATTACAAGACACAACCAACTACATGATATCTCAAGTGCGGCGTTCTGGTCGATTCTGTTGAATAATTTAAATGATTTACGTTTCCGGTCACGTGAGATATGTTACCTTACCCCTAGGAAAAAGGCTCCTACAATATACCGGAAGAAAAAGCCTTTCGTTTTACGAACCAAACAAATCACCCGATTCGTCTTATGAGACGTGGCTAAAAGCCGGTAAAGTACGGGTACAAAACGTCGGCAGGTAGTCGTGGGAGATACATACGTTGTACTTTGGTCGTTTAACTTATGTTATTGTGTCATTGGTAATATCGATAATATTTTCTGATTTGTGATTTTCTTGCTCGTAATTTTAAAAGATGCCAAGGTACACAAAATAACGGCCTTATAGCTGTTAGACTTTTCAACATTTATTTTCATTTTATAGATTTTTATGATAATTTTTGTAGGACAAATAAAAGGTTTAAAGCAACTGTAGCTGTCACATATCATGATGAGGATGGCCATGTTGAGAGAGAAGAGGTGGATTTGTCAGAATTGGTTACTGACGATCATACAGGAAGCTGTTCTTTTAACAGTCCTGATAATTGTGGTGCATTGGAAGGCCATGAACTGGGAATGGAGTAAGTTATCCTGTACGAGGTTATTCATTGCTTTGTAGGATGGCATGTTTTGGCCATATAAACTCATGAACATGCTGGTGTATGATTGTTCATGCCAAACAGCTCGTCACAAAAGAAGTCTTTCTGTTGTTGATGTTAAAGGTATGTTATATGTAAAATGTGGTGCAAAAGTTTTTTCATTTTAGCTGGGATGGTTTAACACAATTATAATTTTGGATCTTTTTCAATTTTTAGGCACCTTTTGTAGTGTTGAGGTACACTTTTGCTCATGCTCTCCAGAGTTTGTTCAACTTCTGCAATTTGGCCTTTGGGGTGGAACACCTACAAAACCAAGAATTGCATTTGCAATTGAGTTTTTTTGAATAGATTCATTCTGTGCAGATGGAATGCCAAGCATCAATAAAAAAGCATTTGTCAGTCATTTGAAGAGTTTAATCATAACCACATATTCTCCTCTTATGCAACACCAAAAATGTATCCTGTCATTATAGATGCTTTTGAAGAATGTAGGTAACTGCATGTAGGTCACTGATTTATTGCACTGCTGTACTACGTATGAATTGCTGGGAAAGTTGCAGTCAATTTTATAGCCTAAGAATCTCATCTTAAGAGATGTATTTAATTGGAGGAAATCAAAATGCTAAAGTTTATGGTGAGAAAGGATTTTTCCTCAAGTATTACTGTCTTGCACTGTATTTTGTTTATGTCATTTGTTTAAGAGTGCATAATTGCTTTCTTTGTGTCATTGTTTTTTTCAGAATTTACAGACATAAACTAAACATGTTGAGCTGTGTTATTCCTGAGCTTGATGAAGGAAATATCTGTCCTACTTGTCCCAAAGTGAGTATATTCGTATTACTTGTTTAACAATGACAATTTAGTAAAAAGAACATTAGCAATGCTATCTCAAACACCTTTTTGACTGCATAATTTGCATCATTGAACTCAGATACATTGCATGATTTTATCCTTCACCATTTTATTGAAGACTGATGGTGTGATCTTTGAGTCTCTTGATGCTCTATTTATTGGAAATTTGACAAGTTGTTGCTGTGTTTTCATTTTCTGGTAAAATCCCTTTTTGTAGTGTATTCCAAAACTGTGGTAATACATATGCCAGGTTAACAACATTATCTGAGATCCAACATCCAAGTACAATCCATAAGTATGCGCTGTAATGTGTGGGATTGCTTAGGTATATTGATGGAATATTCTTTGTGGTTGGCTTACAAAATGATAGCATGCTCTTGAAAAAGGCATAGTTATAGCTTGATATGGCCATCATAATCATTACAACCACGCCAAAACATTGCTACATGTTTGGAATGGATATGCTTTTGAACAATTGTCTGTGCACTTGTGTCCTCCTCTAACCCGGCATCTGCTATCAAGATCATGTGTCATTATTACTGAGTAGTTGGCTAAGCTGTCGCAAATATTATGTGCCTTGATGAATTTATCTAAAATGTGTAGAAGAGTGTTCGGAAATTACCAGCCTAATGAATCCCCATATGTAATGTTTTTGTCATTAGTGTCTACATAGCAAAGTACCCAATGGTTCCGGGGTGCAAATCATCTACAACGAATGTGTTGCCATTGCTTTCTTTACCAACATTTATGGCAAAACAGAATTTTGAAATGAATTCATATTTAGCATGGTGTTGGACTGTTGTGGGTGTTTTTGTTCCATTGAGGTACACATAATATGTATCTGTTTTCTTTTGGTTTAGGTTTGTTGTCAACCAGCATATGTGGTCACTTGACACCCATCTGTCAACACATAACCTGGATATCTCATTGGATGACAATCCTCGTTCTTTCATAATCTCACTGTATGGGGTTCTGTACAAAAGCTTCTGAAAGGCTGTAATTGAAGCAGCTGATGGATGTTCCATCACCGTGACTGGTTTGTTCAATGGTCGTGAAAACCAGGCAATTTCCTCTTCGACTTCTACTTGTATGTTTTTTAAGGTGTGAAATTTCTGCAGATTCGTGATGCATTTGATATCTAACCTTCCTTGTGATGTGTTGATACATGCTCCTTTGCTTGTACTTGATGCCTCAACTATTTTTCTCCTTTGTTTCAACTGGTCCATACTTGGCATAGATGTTACATGGCAAGGATCAACAACTGAATCATCATCTGTACTGCAATTTACACCTTTGGTAAACCATTTCTCAATCTTTGGCAACAAAGACTCAAAAGCCTGACCTCTAGTTAGCTTGCTCAATACGAGCTCTATCTTTTTTGAAGCTTTTTTGAGAGACAAAACCTCCAAATAAATTATTTACATATAATTAACAAAACTAATTTCCATTTCTATATTATGAATTTTTAATGCAAGACTTTAATCCTATGTCATGTCAGGGCCTATATTCATGTTGCCTTGCACCCCCATCCCCATTGCACTGCAAAGGTCTGAATTAAATAACCTCAATAAAATTTGCATGTAGTGCAATGCAGTGGAAGTTCCGGGGTAAGTCAGAATATGTTTATGTTTAGTAGCTTAATATAAATTTAAAATACTATAATAACAACACTGCTGATATTGTTATAATTATTACTAATTATTTCCAAAATATTGCCAATACGACAGTTGTCAAGTAGTTTCATGTATTCTGACTTACTCTGCAGCGAAAGTAGTGTTTGCAGTTCAGTTAATGTATGTGCATATGCTTAGTGTGATGAAGCAATTAAACTTGCAATACCTTCGTATTTTTATTCCACATACCGCTTTTCACGAATAATAAAGAACTTAAAACGTTCAGATATTTAGCTTTATTATAGAGCAATACAATGGAAGGAGAACAAGAAAGTTGACAATGCACATACGATGATGTTTTTTTACAAAAAAGTTAAAGTGGGTAAAATCGTATTTCGCAGCAAGACGACAAAACAATTCGCCCGCGTAACGATGGTGACATTTAATATTTATCTTTCAGTTTACGTTTCGCGTGACAAATTTCAATATGGTTTCTGTGCTCCGATCTCTCGATTTAGCTGCATGTCCCAAATCATTGGTGTCTTATCAAAGTGACTCTTCTGATGAAGAGAGAAGTAATAATGATAAATCTAAAGAAGATGAAAAGTCAATCGAAAGCACTGTCAATATGGATGCTCTAAAATCTAAGTTTCTTTTAAACAGCGCGCCAATTGTTGATGCTAAGGTAAAGTGTAATAGTTTTTATCCAAAGTCCTAACTAGGCAACTACCAAGACCAAGGTTAAATCTATGATACGATTTGCTATGCTTTAAAGGAAGGAATAGATTGGAGAAGACACATCGATCCTTCAATGAAAGAAGTTACATTTAATGCAAAGTATGACGAACTCTTTTCTGCTTCGGTACATGCTTCTGTTTTGTACATGCACATGGACAAAATCATGATTTTGAAGAAGTCTACTATTTTAGGTTGGACAACAAAATCCATTTTAAACGAAGCAGCAAAGAGCACATAAAAATATGTTGTCTGGCTATGTTGAGCCAGCTCATATCAGTAAATTTCAATTTGATAATCAACTAAAAACATTCTCAAGTTACGGTAAGAGCAAAAGCAAGCATAGTTTGAGAAAAAATGTATTTGTTAATGAGTTATGTGTGATCTTTTTGTTTTTAATAAATCACAGGTTATGCATTAGATCCAAGTGATGACACAGCTCACATTGAAGAGAAGTTAGTTACAATATATGTATATAATATTGTTACAATGTGCTTATAGCATAACTATGATATAGCATACATCTTCAACGATAGTCATGTTAGTGCAGGGATGCACATCTCTCCAAAATTTTATGTGTTTTACATTGTGGGGATGATTTATTGTAGTGTAGATTGATACTAAAACCCAATACAAACCAACTTTTTCATCCTTTATTAGTTTCAGGACTAACTTTTTATACATAATTCACAATATGTAGAGGGTATTAAACACTCCTACATCAAATGTGTTCCTCAGTGAATGCATCAAGTCTGAAATGGAATAATGCTGAAGTATTATATCACTCAATTACTTTGAAATGATTCAAGCTGATAAATGAGTGGAATATGATGATTGTGCTTTGTCATGAAATTACCTTCAAAACATAATGTAGTACATGGCTCTTAATTATTAGTAAATAGGCTTGGTAATGTTTTATGTTTATATCAATTGTTATCCATTAAGATTTGTTGGGGATGTTGAGAAAGCAAAGGATAGCAAGGGATTGACTGTGTTTGAAGCTACAAAACAGCTGGCTGGAGATTGGAAGAAGAGAGAGAATAAGGCAGATCCTGGTGTGATTGATGGATACAAGGGTACGATTACTACAATAATGATAACTTTTGAAAGGTTGTCCTACTATCTCTTATTCTCTGTTATCCTATAGGACCATGGAGTAAGTTTGTTGATGAAGAAACTATTGCTAAACCATCTGAGGTATTTCAATTACCCAAATAAAGAGTTTTATAAAGATATTTTTCAAATCAAACAATTATTTTTCTGTCATTCTACCTTGGTGAATACAGGAAGAGTCGACAATCCTTGAGGAGTATGAATTATCGAAGAAAAACAAATCAAAGAAAGATGATATGAAACCTTCAGAAGAGAAATCCGCATTACACAGTAAGTTAAAATTTTCATACTTTCTTATAGTTTCCTAAACTTTACCAAATGTAATTATTTTTCAGTTAAAGATGCATATGACTATCAAGGAAGATCATATCTTCACATTCCACAAGATCTTTGCATTAATCTCAAGTCAGATACTCCTCCAGAACGATGCTTTCTACCAAAACAACATATTCATACGTGGTATGTAAACAATTCTCCACTTAGTTCATTTATTCAAAATCAAAAAATGGAAGTTAAAATACCAGAAATGACGTTAAACACGCTATTGAATTTTAGTTGTTCTTGTATTTGTTTGTTTTCTGTTACTTTACTGTAAAACAAAAACGGAAGAAATATGAAAGTTTACTTACTAAAATGTAATTAGAAACGCCATGGAACGTCTGACTTAGAGTCATCAATATGCTTTAAATTTTGTAGATTTTAAGGAAAACACGCAATAATTGAATTAAGTTTAAAGACAGTTTATGATATAATTCTTGATGGTATTGAGGAAGTTCAATTATACATTACAGTATTCATTAGAGAAAGCGTCTCATCCAAATATAAACTTAAAATATGAGCGTTTTTTTAATACGATGCTTCTGTTTGATTCAAGACGTTTAGGTGATCATTTGATATGTTTATAAAATCATATTTATCAGTGTATTATTTATTATAAAGTAATGATTTGTTCTAGTACTACGTACGTATGTTTGTAGATATTGTATTGGACTTCCTTAGCACTTGTTTTAAGAAACACGGCTAACCTGACATTTACTTATCATTTGACTCTGAAGATGACTACTGCTAAGGTTGTCAAAACGTCAGTCAACATCAACACCAACAGTCCTTCACAGGACTCTACTAAGCTCGACAAAAACGTAACGATACTTCCTGATGCAAATATTCACTTTATACAGCACTTTTTAATAACATTTAAGTATTTGTTTTCCTGTAGTTCATCCTTCTACCGTCGTGATAAAAGAAAGCAATGGAGATATTCTTACTTATGTATTATTGTATTATTTTATCTTTCTCTTAGGTCTGGTCAAACTAAATGTGTTTCTGCAATAAGATTCTTTCCGAAATCTGCTCATCTTCTTCTGTCGTGTAGCATGGATTGTAAAATTAAGGTAAAAAGTCATTTTCTCTGTCTTACATGTTGTTGTTCATTTTGAGTTTGGTTGTACATCGTTGAATGCTCCTCCGACATTACTGGAGGTGAGAATTTTTACTAAATTACCATCACGACAAGAAATACATTTGAAACAATACATTTTCTTTCAGAAACTGCAAGATAATATTCATGTAAGCGCCAACGGCTCTGTTTTTGTAAAATCTAACATAAGAGGAGGAATTTTACCCAGGTAATGTGGGATATTTCACATTCATTTGGTTACTGGTCACATTTTTATTGATTCAAAAGATTGTTGAAAAAATAGCATTTGCATGTTGTTGTATATTTTGCAATGTACATAGCGTTCCTTTTTAAGTCTTTAATCTCCTAAATAGGTCTTGATATCTTTGGGTATTATATGTTCAATAAGTTTGATTTATTTTAGAATGTTAGAGGAGATATTATACACACGTATTATGGTAAAGAAAGCTTTGAAAGATTGTAAAGATGATAAAGTAAGTTGGTTTTATTAAACCTTTGTTTTTGAAGCGATCTTTAATGTTTTTATAAGATCCAGTCGCTAAAACGTCATGGAGTTTTCATCATGTTCAAAAAAGATGCCTTTCCACTCTTCGTTTGTTTTCTTTAATCATTCAATATCATAAATAATTTGCATTTTAGACTCTTCTTCAACTTCTTGATGCTCGACAGCTTGCTTTAAAGTTGATTGCAAATGTCACTTATGGTTACACATCCGCAAACTTCTCAGGACGAATGTCTTGTGTTGAGGTAACTTTGATCTTGTCATGATAGAAATTTAAATAAACGATAACTCTCCCCATTCCATCTAAACAGACCTTGTGCCGTAAACTTTGTATTCATGATAGAAATTTAAACAAACGATAACTCTCCCCATTCCATCTAAACAGACCTTGCGCCGTAAACTTTGTATTCATGATAGAAATTTAAACAAACGATAACTCTCCCCATTCCATCTAAACAGACCTTGTGCCGTAAACTTTGTATTCATGATAGAAATTTAAACAAACGATAACTCTCCCCATTCCATCTAAACAGACCTTGCGCCGTAAACTTTGTATTCATGATAGAAATTTAAACAAACGATAACTCTCCCCATTCCATCTAAACAGACCTTGTGCCGTAAACTTTGTATTCATGATAGAAATTTAAACAAACGATAACTCTCCCCATTCTACGGTGGCCCACAAGTATCACGGCAAATTAAAAACTCACGGCAAATTAAAAACTCGCGGCAAATTAAAAACTCGCGGCAAATTAAAAACTCACGGCAAATTAAAAGTGATACTTTTGGGCCACCGTAGTGGCCCACAAGTATCACGGCAAATTAAAAACTCGCGGCAAATTAAAAACTCACGGCAAATTAAAAACTCACGGCAAATTAAAAACTCGCGGCAAATTAAAAACTCGCGGCAAATTTTTGACAATGTGGTGAACCGGGCAAATGCAAAATTGTTATATGTTTCCACTTCGAGGAGGGTAACTTTCTAGTTGAAACTTAGAGTTGTCGTTATTTCCATGTGGATTCGTGTGGGATTTCTTCTTAAACGATATTTGTTGTATCTATTTTAATGTTATATGCAATGATTATTATTTCGTATTTTCTCTCTAACAACATTGATTTCATAATCGACATTTTTCCTTTGAAGGCCGTACCGTTTTATACGTCTTTTAAGAGTTGAGATTCTCATTTTTACTGAGTGGTTTTTGCTCAATAACTCGATAATTTCGTCGTACTTGAAGCCTTTACTAAAGTATTCTTTGATTAAATTTTCTTCCTCTTGGGCGCCCGCCATTGTGAATTAATACTACTCGTCATTACCACGTGTTTCAACCCACTTTGCCGCGAGTTTTTAATTTTCCGCGAGTTTTTAATTTGCCGCGAGTTTTTAATTTGCCGTGAGTTTTTAATTTGCCGTGAGTTTTTAATTTGTCGTGAGTTTTTAATTTGCCGCGAGTTTTTAATTTGCCGTGAGTTTTTAATTTGTCGTGAGTTTTTAATTTGCCGTGAGTTTTAATTTGCCGCGAGTTTTAATTTGCCGCGAGTTTTTAATTTGCCGTGAGTTTTTAATTTGCCGCGAGTTTTAATTTGCCGCGAGTTTTAATTTGCCGTGAGTTTTAATTTGCCGTGAGTTTTTAATTTGCCGCGAGTTTTTAATTTGCCGTGATACTTTTGGGCCACTACGGTGGCCCAAAAGTATCACTTTTAATTTGCCGTGAGTTTTTAATTTGCCGCGAGTTTTAATTTTCCGCGAGTTTTAATTTGCCGCGAGTTTTTAATTTGCCGTGAGTTTTTAATTTGCCGTGAGTTTTTAATTTGTCGTGAGTTTTAATTTGCCGCGAGTTTTTAATTTGCCGTGAGTTTTAATTTGTCGTGAGTTTAATTTGCCGTGAGTTTTTAATTTGCCGCGAGTTTTTAATTTGCCGCGAGTTTTAATTTGCCGTGAGTTTTAATTTGCCGCGAGTTTAATTTGCCGCGAGTTTTTAATTTGCCGTGAGTTTTAATTTGCCGTGAGTTTTTAATTTGCCGCGAGTTTTTAATTTGCCGTGATACTTTTGGGCCACTACGGTGGCCCAAAAGTATCACTATTTGCCGTGAGTTTTTAATTTGCCGCGAGTTTTAATTTTCCGCGAGTTTTAATTTGCCGCGAGTTTTAATTTGCCGTGAGTTTTAATTTGCCGTGAGTTTTAATTTGTCGTGAGTTTTAATTTGCCGCGAGTTTTAATTTGCCGTGAGTTTTAATTTGCCGCGAGTTTTAATTTGCCGTGAGTTTAATTTGCCGTGAGTTTTAATTTGCCGTGAGTTTTAATTTGTCGTGAGTTTTAATTTGCCGTGAGTTTTTAATTTGCCGCGAGTTTTAATTTGCCGCGAGTTTTAATTTGCCGTGAGTTTTAATTTGCCGCGAGTTTAATTTGCCGCGAGTTTTAATTTGCCGTGAGTTTTAATTTGCCGTGAGTTTTAATTTGCCGCGAGTTTTAATTTGCCGCGAGTTTTTAATTTGCCGTGAGTTTTTAATTTGCCGCGAGTTTTAATTTGCCGCGAGTTTTAATTTGCCGTGAGTTTTAATTTGCCGTGAGTTTTAATTTGCCGCGAGTTTTAATTTGCCGTGATACTTTTGGGCCACTACGGTGGCCAAAGTATCACTATTACCGTGAGTTTTAATTTGCCGCGAGTTTTAATTTTCCGCAGTTTTAATTTGCCGCGAGTTTTAATTTGCCGTGAGTTTTAATTTGCCGTGAGTTTTAATTTGTCGTGAGTTTTAATTTGCCGCGAGTTTTAATTTGCCGTGAGTTTTAATTTGCCGCGAGTTTTAATTTGCCGCGAGTTTTAATTTGCCGTGAGTTTTAATTTGCCGTGAGTTTTTAATTTGCCGCGAGTTTTTAATTTGCCGTGATACTTGTGGGCCACCGTACCATTCCATCTAAACAGACCTTGCGCCGTAAACTTTGTATTCATGATAGAAATTTAAACAAACGATAACTCTCCTCATTCCATCTAAACAGACCTTGTGCCCTAAACTTTGTATTCATGATAGAAATTTAAACAAACGATAACTCTCCACATTCCATCTAAACAGACCTTGTGCCGTAAACTTTGTATTCATGATGGAAATTTAAACAAACGATAACTCTCCCCATTCCATCTAAACAGACCTTGTGCCGTAAACAAGTGCTATGAAAGTAAATATTTTGTTGTTCAATTACTTTTTTGTTACTCACTACATTACATATGAGATGACAAAAGTAAATATGGGCCAGACACACATAAATAGAGTAAAAGCCCCATTTTTCTTGGCTACATCACTACCTAAAACATACATAAAGATAAATTACATTGTCAGGTGGTCACCAATGCCAGATCTATCAAAACGCTTGTCAGCAAAGGATTTTTATTGTGTTTAGTCTTTACAGAAAGGAATGGATTTTTGGCTCCATTTCAAGGAACAAAAAGCTTTGTTAGCCCTGGCTTTTGGGTATGTTTTCTTTCTCCTTTAGCTGACCAACAACAGTTGTATTTTCAATTTCTGTAGGGAAAGGTTTAAAC